TGCACATCCTGAAACATCAGCCAGCCCTCAAGGACCATAGTGCAACATGTTGAGCAAGTATTACCAGTCCTTTCAGACAGGCAGAGTTCAAATAGTGGTAGGCACCTGTGGATAAAGTGTAACTACTCCTTACAGCATGTCAGAAGTAGATAGCAAGTGTAGATTTGACTCTTTTGAAATTTCAGACTGTGTTTACTGAAGAGTCCTGTGAAGAGATTGGTAGACTTTAACTAAGGTGCAGTAGTAGAGTCTAAAATATTTTTTTTTTTCTTGATTTGAAATGTTCAATAAAGCTGTTTAGATTGTCCCCTTTGAATGTCTCTGCATATAATGTAACCCTCTTTAAATCATGCAGTATAAACAGATCAAGGTAGCCAGGATACATTTACCTATCTTTCACTTTACAACATTTAGTGTCCCTGGATGGTGAGGTAAGTACCCAAAAGGATACTCCAGTAAAGTGGATCCCACCAAAAAGGAAAGGTGATTGACCAGAAATTAGGGTGAACTTCATTGGGTGATACTTAAGCCATAGATTTCGAGACATGAGCTCTAGAGGGGAAGATAAAGTATGTTCTATGGCCAGTGTGAATTGGGACGAAACGGTAATGAAATTTTTCATTATGATCAAACCAGCATTGGGTCTTAAGTTCGTAGGCCATAATCACTGGGAGGAAGTGTACATTGTTTAGGGAAGCATGCTTCCAAAGTTATTCAAGTCATCGCTGTACCTATTTGTATGGAATAGCTCTGCAATTTAAAAGAAAATAGATCTTTAAATTTAAAGTAGTATACAGAGTGAGAGAAGAAATAGTTGGCACCACATGAGAAATCGAGAAGAAATTGGGGAGATCCTCATACTTGAGAGAAGTTGAAGGGCACTATGTAGAATTATAAGAATTTTTAACTTTGGAGCAGAAGCACTGCAGCCAAGTGAACCTACTGCACAATGGGGACTTTCAGGCCCAGAAGGCAGTTGGTCAGGGATTACAGTGCTGCTTGGAGAAGAGCTCCTGACCTCAACAGTGCAAGAGGTGATCAGGAGGTGTTTGGACTTGTAGGGGAATTGTGGATTAAATCTACTAAGATGACACAGCAGCATAGGCAATTCTGGCAAAGCACGCTGAAGCATTCACCAGTCATAAACATAATTATGATGAATGACCAGCGATGGACTGATCGACCGATCGGACCCAAAACTGCAGAGATTGTAGATCTTTCTGAAACAGGCAGAAGGAGGAGTTTCCAAGGTGTGGCCCTTGCCAACAACTCACTACTCTGGCTGGTTTGGAAACTGGATAGCTGTTGCAGACTTTTTGACTATAAAGAATTCAACAAAACCACCCCAATTACAGCACCGATGGTAGTGACAAGCCCCACAAGCAAAATATTGTACGTTGCTGGATACCTGCAATAGATTTTGATCTATACCATTTCACAGGCAATACCAGTAAAACTAACTTTTACATTCTAGGGCTAGCAGTATACATGGACCTGCTTGCACCAGGATTTTTGCAACTCTCCCTCTATCTTTCACCAGGGATTGGGAAAATGCTTTCAACCCTTTAGCCAACGAGTCTGCTGAATAAGATATTTAAATGACCGAATACATGAAAACTGAACATTTATGATTACTGAAGGAACCGATAACCCTCTTCATACCTTAGGATTGAAGGTCCGCGCAATGAAGGTACAAGTGTTGTATATTTGGGAGCCATGATGACCCAGGAGAGACTCCAAACAGTAAAGAAGTGTATCGAGACTGTGTAGCCCATTTGCTGCTCCCTGGGCTTAATGGGATACTATTGAAATCCAGACTAGTTTTGTTACTGAAATAACCCCTGTGCCTGACCTTAAAAGGAACACCCTGTGAGAATGGACTGGGCAGCACCTGGAAGCTGTCTCAAGACTGAAGTAGGCCTTGAAGGCCCCACCCACCTCCCAACACTGCAAGTATTTGACCCAGACCTTCCCTTTGCCTTGCAAGTTGCAGTCAAAGGTGCCACACTTGATGCCATGCTCCTCCAGGAGTGCCATAACAAACTTGGAATGGTAGGCTAGGCCTCCTGGCTTCTTTCTCTGGTAAAACAGGGCTTCTCTGTGTGAGAAGTTCTTGTTAGTTGTGTTCTGGGCAGTGAACCACAACCTCGATCGTTGGCCTGAATCCCTTAACCATTCTCATGTAATACCCCCATCTAACTTTTGCTAGATAGCTGCATTATAAACAGTATGGTTAGCTAAAATCAGCATAGTGTGCAGAACCAGGGACATTACAATCAAACGTACCAAGCTGCCCACCTTGGCTCACAACCTAAGCTATGCAGGGGAACCCCATGAATGTCAGGTTATTTGTGCCCAAACAAAACAGAAGACAGAAGGAAAAACATTGTAGATAAATCCTGTACAATGGAGGATGGGCACTGACAGACAGGATGTGACATATACGTGGAGAACTAGAGGTGAACCCCTGGTAGAATTGGGGCTAAAGCTCCCAGATAAAACGGGTGTTCAAGCTGCCAAACTAAGTCTAAGTCTTATCAGCTACCCTGACAAGATCTCCCACCTAACAGCAGACATACACTCAGACAGCATGACTTCCTGACACTGTGGGAAGCTGGAACCTGGCAGATGGAAAACTTTTTTGCCATCAGCACCCCTACTTAAACTTATTTTCCAGAGTGCACAAGACTGAGAGCATGACATTAGGGCTCATTGTAGAACTTCCCCCAATTAGGAACATTTAAAGGCAGAGGAATTGACCAAGCAGGATGCCCACTGGGAAAAACCATGGCAACCCCCATCCCAGAACATACACATTGGCGTTTGCCAAACTAAAGTCAAAGATTTTATACAGGCTCGGCCACAATGATGATTTAAAGCAAATGCAGGAGGCAACACACCCTGCCTCCTGTTGTAAATGGAAGGACAAACTGATCATCAAAAACAGACTTGTCCTTAAAGATGGACAGTATGTGGTATCAATCCAAGACAAAAACCAGATAAGTTATCAATGTTGCCAATGTTCAGGGCCAACAGGGAACTGAGGCTGCTGCAGAGTGAATTAACGAATTGTGTTGATGGCCAGAAATCAGTAAATTCATAATGCATTGTTGAATTATATCTGTACCTAGAACAATCCCAACAAGTATGCCAACAAAGGAGAATTGAGACATACTAGGAAAGTAGAAGGACTGTGGCCTGATCTACAAATAGATTATTTTGTTTTTCCCCCTACCACCCTGTGAAGTGGGTTATATCTTGGTCATCATGGACATCTTTCATGAGGGGAAAGAAGAAGCTTTCCCAACCTAGACAAACACTAAAATTACAGCAGACCTTTTAAAACAATGTGCTCACCAGATGGAGTCTTGCCTATTGTACAGAATCTGATGCCTACTTCATGGCCCAGGTAATGCAAGCTGTGATGAATTTGGCATTACCTAAAAGTTTCATATCGCCTACTATCCTCAATCCAGTAAAATTGTACACAGGATGAACACAGCCCTGCCCTTTGTTCTCATGGTACTACTGAACTCACTCTGCAGCTCAACTAGATTCACTCTCCATGTTTTAATGATTGGACTGCCCACGCAGGGTGTTGAACCTCTACTAGTCCTGGGCATGTCAGAGCCTGAGCTCTCACCTATGATGTAACTGTGGAAAAACTCTACTTGACAATGTACAGGCTGCACAGAAGGCAACAGCTATCAAAATAATGAAAAGAAAGAAAATGAGTAAGGCTTATTTTGATGCAGAAGTGAACCCAGAAGTAGGGTAGGTCTTTCAGCCAGGAACATTCCTTTCTCCTAACTACTCAAGTCTGCATTCTGCTGTGCATATGGTAAACCTGTCACTGTATAAAATTTTTCTGGATTCTGCAAAGATCCAATGTTTTGTTGTGAACAGCTAAAGATCTAGGGAGCAGAGAGCAATAGCCACCAGTTCCATCTGTTTTTAGGAGGGATTGGAAGAAGCAGGCCTGCATCACAATCCTGTGGCCAGTGCCAGACCCAATCACTGTTCCCAATCCTGGTAGGACCTAGTCCCTGAGCTGATCCTGAGTCTTTTCTGAGGGGTCAACCTCAAATCCAAACTCACAGCTGGCCCTCCCCACCCCGGACTGGAGAGTAAGGCCTCAACATGCAGCAGCCTTGAAACAAGAGGTGGATAAAATAGTCATTGAAGAAACATCCAATGTAGTGTTATAGCCCAGAGGCCATGAAAGAAAAAGTCCCTTTGCTAAAGCATTCACTTTGGCGCTCCAGCTGAGACATCATGGAGAAACAAGACCTCAGCAGTCAGAGCCTCCCTTAGCACACTTACTGGCAGAGTGAACCCAATTCAGACACAGACACTGACCCTACCCTTGTACTGAAATCAATGCACTCTCCAACTCGTGTCCATTTTCTTTCAAACTAGCCCAGAGCCTGCAATCTGTTAGTTTGTTTTTATTTAATCATTCATATCCACAACCCCTTAACAGGTATCCATCTTTGTCACACAGAGCATGGACTCCTGCTCTCACAGCCTGCCATTATACCACCCAGGTATAATTGGTATCAGTTATCAAAAAAAAAATCACATCATGGTATAATACAATTGGTAACTACCATTACCCAGCACTCATCTGAAATCTGCGAGCCTCTGCTCTTTTTTTTTTGTATTTATAACCCCACACAATGTTAAAATTTTGGCCACTTTTCGTCTTTTCTCATCATTCCCACAGCACCACTCCGGTGTCACCTGCTCGAACTCCAGACTTTGGGTTAAAGCCCTGAAAAACGAGTCAGGAGAAATGGGTAACTGACCAAAATTGGCTACTTAGAATAAAAAGGGGAATTTGGGAGAAACTAATTCGTAAAGAACAAAATTAAAACAGTGGCAAAAAGGACCATAGGCCAATATAGTATGTCATCCATTACCAGGAATGCTGTGTTTCGATGGTAATCAATATAGGCATTAAATAAGATAGTGACGGATGTTACCTTGACCTCTTTCAGGAGTCGAACAGCATGCAGCAGACAGCACTTGTTATTGTCTACTTCATCTTCTGGACACCAGTGAAACCGAGAGAAAACTGTCTGGCTATATGTGGTTGTCTTCTGCCACAGCAGCCGATTACAATGATGGCATTCTCTGGATCACCCAAACCACACTGTAATATATGGATGTAACAGTCAGTGTGTATAGGAGACTAAATGGGAGTTGTTACAGAAGTGTTGACCCCACAGGTGAGTGATGGGAGTTCTCCACCAATGGATGCACTGAACTGGGGTATTTTGCCATTGGGTCAGAGAAAGGATTGGAGTGAAGTCAAAAATGCCCAAGAATACTTGAAGATAATATATACTTAGTAGATGAAATAGGAATTGCCCAAAATGGGCCATAAATGCACCCCTCTACACTTGTCTAAGAACTAACCAGGACTGTTAAATGGGTTGGTTTTAAAATACACAAGTAAATTCCTGCATGACAACATCCACCACAGATTTGTACCTGTGATATCGGGAACTCAGCTGCCAGAGTGGTGCCCTGCCCAACTTCAGAAACTGTAGCTGTATTTGAAACACAGAATACTGGGATGGAAAACAGGAATTGATTCAGGTGAGGTCAGACCTAGATGAGCAGGGTGTAGTAAAAGAGGCATAATTAATGATTTGGCAACAGCTTATGGAACAGGATTGCCCAGAGTCATGACTCTTGATTTGGCTAATAAACCCAAGATTTTAATCCAACAAGTTAAACAGGCCTTTGATTTTATCAATCAAGACAACCGGCAAGATGCCAACAGGAAATTGAAGGAGAATCTGGCTAGCCAACACTTGGTAATGGTACTAGAAAGACAAGTTGGGATAATAAATGAAACCATCCAAGGAATAGTAGATAACAACAGAATTGAACCCTGTATGGTATCTATGGTGAGTGGATGACAGTCGATGGAAAACTTCGAGCAGGCTAGCAAAGGACAAATCCTGTCTTGCGTCAGTGACTAACAAAAAGAGCACTTATTCCGTGGAATGAGACACCCCAATATTTCAAGTTGCCAGTTACGCGAACGAACCAAGTGATGATTTGAGGATGACTGCAAGGGACCCCCCAGGAAAGGTCTTAGGCATGTACTAGGGATCCCAATCATAATGTTGAACAAAAATGAGTTAAAAGTCAGGTTAAAATACTTCCATTATCCAAGAGGGAAGGTGGTTGGAAAATGATGGCACTCTACTGTATGCTGTTCAAAAAGGGAGATTGCTTGCAGCTACTACTGTAAATAAATGTTAGCCCACCAAACAAGTAAATGTGTACTCCTATTCTATTCTGTGTGTATTCAAACAAACGTGCCTTATGTGGTGTTTGAACAGTCACCAATTTAAACTATACCGTAGAAATCCAGATCCTGGGCACTGACATCACCTGTGTAGTGAACTGGGAAGGAGAATACCACATCACAACGTCCCCAAAACATTATTAACATGGAACCTTCACTTGTTATCGATGACAGTACATTCTACATTATTCCCCACAATCCAGCCAGGGTAGGTCTAATTGAATTCATAGACATATGCAGGAGAGGCAAGGTCTTCGTTAATTGTCAAAGACCAACTTCAGACTTTAGGAGATTATTTGAAAAAAGACAACACTAGTATTGAACTCCAACCAGAAAAATTACACCAGATCCAAACACAGTTGGCTAACGTGCATGGTTTTTTTTCTACTATAATCCAACATACACCGCAAGTACAAAGAGATATTAAAGAAATTGAAGTCTCATTGGTGAGATTCCTTTAGGAATTGGGATACAAATGTACAAATCCATCCTTGGGTTTGTGTCCTATCACACCTCACTATTGTTTATAACTGTCCTAGCAGTTAAAGTTTTTAAGTGGAAATGGGAACTCATTTCCTAATGTAGAAACGTTGCTGAGACCCCTGCTCAGCTAGTATCAAGTAATGTAATTTATTGTGTATAAGATTCTAGACAACTTGTAAATAATTTTACTACCACTGCTGTAGACTCTACCATATATATATAATTATTTGTACAATAGTTGATTCTTAATGTTTTTCTCTTTATTGCTACTTTATTAACAATATTGTCATAATAGTGTAGGTTAGGTATTTGGACCTTTCATCTGGAAATCTGATAATTACCTGTACAATGGCTTGGACAGTGCTGTGATCCAACTTGCTTGATGCTTGCTGAATCAAAGCAGGGAATGTGGTCAGGTGATCCATGACCTCCAGGATTGTTACTCATGAAAATCTATCAATATTTCTGTATGAATAAAAACTTGAAATGTGGAAGCCGAGCTTAAACCTAGCCAGACTCTGCAAATTGCAAACTGCAGAGCTGGAACAGACACTATTCATGCAGCCAGGCCTTGGACAATCAACTTCTCATCAAACCAGGCAGGCCTGAGACTGCCTGGGCAGGTATTAATGGCCATTGATTCAGAATGAACTGATGTTTACACCTCCAGTGAACCTGCTTTGTTAAAAGAATGCTACACAGACTTGGTGGCACACAGCTCAGTAAGAGGCCAGAGATGTAGTGTAACAAGGACAGCACTTGACACTTGAAGATTCAAAACCATGTTCTGGATCTCCAGAATTGGAATGTAGTCACCTCATGTAGTTGGCAGGGCTGACAATTCATAGTATTAGATACAGAATCTTCAAGGGCTCAAAGAGGGGGATAAACGGGGTAACCTCAAGCACCTGCTTTTTGGACCTTTTTTTCAGTGGCTTCTCCAGAGAGCACCTCTGACTGGCAGCCAGGCTGCACAGCATTTCCCATTCCTTGAGACTCCCCATGATGTACATCAGACTGACAAAACTCAAGACTGCCATGGTGAGACAACCCGAAGACCAAAACAAGCCCCGTGCCCAAGAGGAGAAGCCCAAATGGACAACTGCAGATCCTGAAACATTGGCTAACCCTCAAAGGTTGTGGTACAGCCTGTCTCAGCCTTATTGAATGAGTATTACCAGTCTTCTCAGACAGACAGGACAAATGCAGTGGTAGGGACCCCTGGATAGTGTTGCGAATCCTCAAAAGTATGTCAGAAATAGGTAGCGTTGGTACATTTGAGACTGCTTTGAGATGTAAGAGGTTTACTAAATTGTCCTGTGAAGATTTTATTTAAAGTGCAAGAGTAGATTCTGATGAATATTGTTTGTCCTTGATAAGGTGTTCAGTAAAATTGTGTGAACCTTCCCCTGACTTTTGTCCCCTTAGTCTATCTCACTGTGTAACTTGTCTGAGTCGAAAAGGGTCACTGCAAACTGGTTAAGATTCATCAGAATACATTTATCCACCCTTCACCTTACAACAGTTATCAGGTAAATTTAAGATTTTGGATATTCTGACTAAACCTTTTTTTATATTGTGACAATTCCAGGAATAGTGCAGCTTAATTTCCAGCATGTTTCCCTGTCAGACATAGCATCCTTCATATCCCAAGAAAATTCAATAAGCTTGTCAAACAGGATTCTCTTTTCAGAAAAATGTCAATTTGTTCTAATTTATCTATGCCTTTCAAAGTGTATTGTTAAGACTGCTTCTACTTATGTAGATTCCAGCAAATTGACTAATTTTAGAATAAGTGGCCTATAATTTACCTGTTTTCTCACTCCTTTGTTTGAAAAGTGGTGTTAAATTTCTTAATTTTCAGTCTGCACAGAGTATTGCAGAAGCTTAGAAAGTAATAATTTTAAGATACTGTGTTCAATTCTGGTCTCCCTGTATTAGCAAAGATGTTGTTAAACTTGAAAGGGTGCAGAAAGATTTTCAAGAATGCTGCCTGGCTGGGGGAGTTCAAAACTAGAGGGCATAAGTTTAAGGTGAGAGGGGAAAAGGTTTTAAAGGGACCTAAGGGGTAACTTTTTCATGCAGAGAGTTGTTCATGTAAGGAATGAGCTGGCAGAAGAAGTGGTGGAGGCTGGTACAATTTCAACATTTTAAAGGCATCTGGATAGGCACATGAATAGGAAGGGTTTAAAGGGATATGGGCCAAATGCTGGCAATTGGGTCTAGATTAGTTTAGGATACCTGATCAGCAAGGATGAATTGAACTAAAGGGTCTGTTTCTGTGCTATACAATTCTATGACTCTAGCCAGTGCATCCACTATCAGTGCAGTTGTCTCTTTTTTTTTTAGGAGCGCTAGGACGTAGATTTGAGGTCCTGGGATTGCTGTAATTTTCTTGTTTGAGTTTCTCCAGTACGTGTTCTTTGCTGATACTAATTAATACTTTTAACCTGAGAACTGAATGCAGAAATTATTTTTTCTTTTTCTGATTGGTTTCTTCTACAATAATGACAAGCACAAAAAATTTATTAAATATCTCTACCATTTTCTCTTTGTCTTTGCTTTTAAGGGACTTTAACTATTCTCTGTCCACTCTGGCTTTATATTTCTGGCTAGGTTACTGACCCTTTTATCAATATTTTGGACCTATTTCTATTCTTGATGATATAAGCCTTTTTCTTTTAACACTATTTCTATCTCTAATGCAAAACTTAAAAATAAACCAAAAGAACTGCAGATGCTAGAAATCTGAAACAAAAACAGAAAATACTGGAAAAAGTCAGCAGGTCTGGCAGCATCTGTGGAGAGAGATCAGAGTAAAAGTTTCAGGTCCAGTGACTCCTCTTCAGAACTTTCTTGGGAAGCTATCAATGGATCTTTCTTGGCAAATTTTTGTAGTTCAGTGGATTTTGTTTTTGTTAAATGTTTTTTGAATTATTTCTTAATGTTTTCCTTTGTTCACAATACTTTTCAGTGTACTTAATCAAACTTTTGTTTTACCGTCATAACAGTTTAATTGACTTAAATTTCGTGATTCTTGTTTGATTGGAATATGTTGTTTCAATCTTCATGTGAAATTCAGTTCCATTATGTTGACGTGTTCTGTAGTGAATCTTTTGCTGTGACATTACTGACAATTTTTCCATATTGCATAATGCTAAATTCAAAATAGTTTTCCTCCAGTTGGTTGCACAGTAGTGTGCGCTAGAGAAATGTGCTGAAAGTATTCTACCAGCTCATCTCCCGGACCGCCTTTTGGTTATTTTGGTTGATCCAGTTTACATGAAGATTGTGTAACATGCAACGTAACACCTGTTCCAATAATTTGTTTAATGCATTTTCCATAAAGTGGCATAACTAGTGTTGGGTGGCTCAGTAGGGGGAAATCTGTAAATTATTCCAACCAGCATGTGCTTTCCCAAATCTCCTCCATGCTACTCTGCATTAAATTTCATTTGTTTGCTTATTTTACATGTGTCTAGTCCTTTGAAGTTTTTTTTTTACCCTCCTGGTGATTTCCATATTTGAGTCTTGTATTATCTGCCAACTTTGAAATGCTCTGTAAATCCAAATCCATTTTATTAAAAGAGCAGCGGTTCAAATACTGCCCCTGGGACCACCAACTTTTTTTTTCTCCTTTTGATTGAGATATTAAACAGAGGCCTTTCTTCTCTCTCGGATGAATGTAAAAAATTCCATGGCACAATATTTCAAAGAAGAGCAGATGCGTTACCCCTGGTGTCTCTGGGCTAATATTTATCTCCACTGACATGGCAATAATAAATTCTTCAGTCATTATCACATTTCTGTTTGTGGAAACTTGTGCATAAATTGGATGCCATATTTCCGACACTGTAACAGTGACTACGCTTTAAAAGTATTTAATTGGCTGTGCAGCACTTTTTAGGATGTCCTGACATTGTGAACGATGCAGTATAAGTGCAAGTCTTTCAGTCCCAAAAAAAGCAACTAATTACCATTACATTCAAAGCACCTCTTGTACTGATGCAAACACTGCCCACGTAATCCTCTGGGATTCAGTTTTGCAGAAATGTCAATTGTGTTGTGTTGTCAATTTTACTAAACACCTGTTTCAAAGTCCATATACACAACATCACCTGTAACTTGTTTCTAATTAATTGGACAATTTGATGTTCCACTGCAGTTGATAAAACTCAGCAGAATTTTGTCTTCTGAAAGAACCGCACTGCAGTTCCATGTATATAAGCAACCCTCCATGCGTTGTTTATGTGAGCATTTATTGAAAGTGAGAGACTGACCTTCAGTAATTAAGATGTTAGAGCTAAAGCCAAGCCTGCCCTAATAGTGCTTTTACCTATGCTGTCTTTTTCTCAGCAACAGTACTCTGGAATTGAAGTCACGGCAAAGATTCACAAACTCTCCTTGCATTCTACAAAATGCATGATGTCCATTATGTTAATCCCAACTGATTTATGGGGTATTGTGTAAGTTCCTTGCATCTTTTCCAAGTTTTTATCTATTTGTTTCAAACTGTAATTAACAGGAGTGTCTCATGTCAAAATGTTAACACTTCAGTTTTTGTGTATTGCTTCTCAATGGCACAAACTAAAATAAACCCAAATCAATTACTTGTGTAATTAATGGCCAACTGCATTAATACACTTCCTTTTGTTATAACATTTAAATATGTGCATTAAATCCATGTCCACACTTTTTTTTCTTACGTCATCTGGTCTGAAACTCCTACACATGACGTAGGTCTTAATATTCCTGTTTCGTACAACTGTATAATTCCCTATCTTTTGCAATTTTAAATCTGAATAAAGAATTATTTTGTAGTGACCACTTAAGTTTGCACGTACCTTTTTTATATAGCTTCTGATTACACTCTCAATCAACTCAAGCACTCTCCCTGCATTTAAACTGTAATTCTCGAAGAAATCTATCAAACTAAATTTGGTGTACATAATGCAGTTTTCAATAGCTCCTTTAACACTTCCCATCTTATGTTTTCAGATTTCTCAGTGGCCTCCCCACCCCTGCTCAGAGGTCACTTTGTTCAGTTGGCTGAATGACTTAGTGATGCAGAGTGATGCTAGCCACAAGGGTTCAATTCGTACACCAGCTGTGAGACCCTCAGGTTAATCCACTACTAGTCATGTCTCTCTAATGACAGAGCAGCTGTATGGTCTGGTAGGACTATGGCAACTGTACCTTTTACCCACCTCCCCTCCCCCTTCCTTTTTAGCTTTGATCTACTTGACATTCTTCAGGGTAGTGTCCTTGGCCCAACCATCTTCAGCTGCTTCGTCGAAGTGGGGATGTTCGCCGATGATTGCACAACATTCAACACCATTCGTGATTCCTCAGTTACTGAAGCAGTCCGTGTTCAAAGGCAACAAGATCTGAACAATATCCAGGCTTGGGGTGACAAGTGGCAGGTGACATTTGTGCCACACAAATGCCAACCTATGACCATCACCAATAAGAGACACTCTAACCACCACCCCTTGAAATCCAATGGTGTTAGCATCACTGAATCCCCCACTATCAACATCCTAGGGGTTATCATTGACCAGAAACTCAGCTGGATTCTCCACATAAACACTGGCTACAAGAGCAGGTCAGAAGGTGGGAATATTGCAGTGAGTAACTCCTCCTGACTCCTGAAAGCCTGTCCACCATCTACAAGTCAGGAGTGTGATGGAATACTCCGCACTTGCCTGAATGAGTGCAGCCCCAACAACACTGAAGAAGCTTGACACCATCCAGGCACTACATCCACTACATTTAGACGTTTAATAAGGTTCCCCATGGTAGGCTCATGTAGAAAGTAAGGAGGCATGGGATAGGGGGAAATGTGGCAGATTGGATTCAGAATTGGCTGACCCTTAGACAGAGGGTGTTAGTGGATGGAAAGTATTCAACATGGTGCTCAATTATGAGTGGTGTACCACAAGGATCTGTTCTGGGTCCTCTTCTATTTGTGATTTTTGTAAGTCATTTGGATGTAGGAGTGGAGGCGTGGATTAGTAAGTTCACGGACGATACAAAGGTGGGTCGCGTTGTGGATAGTGCAGAGGGCTGTTCTAGGTTACAAAGGGACATTGATAGGATGCAGAGCTGGGCTGAGAAGTGGCAGATGGAGTTTAAACCTGAAAAGTGTGAGGTGATTCATTTTGGAAGGACAAACTTGAAAGCAGAATACAGGGTTAACGGAAAGATTCTTGGCACTGTGGAGGAGCAGAGGGATTTTGGGGTTCATGTCCACAGTTCCCTGAAATCCAAGAACAAATAACATAAGCAGGCAAAATTGAGGGTGCCTTCTAAGAATTAATTTCATGTCTTCATTCAGGAAACACCTGGTAAATTCTTAAAACTATTTGTAAATACTGTACTGTACCTTATGATCTTCCGAGACTGGCTCCACTTACTAGATTGGAGAGAAGAAATACCCAGAAACAATTGTGGAAATGGAGAGAAAAGGATGAACAGACTGGTTCAACCTGGAACTTTGCTGTCCCTTTCAGATGAGATTTTTTTTTCTTTAAAATTGGATGTAGGCACCAGTGATAAGGGCGTTTTGTTCTAACAGCAGCACTGTAGTATAGATTGCGCAGGAGTCCAGTGTGACTCCAGCATCCCCTACAGTCTCATTGCACCAGGTGAAACAAGGGTGAGGTAACATACTGATTAATCAGTACTCTTCCATGTTGAGCACCATAAGCAAGGCCACTGTAGTAGTTTGGAGCTGAATGACCAGATAATCAGAACCATCTTAATGTTGGTGTGCATGCATGTATATATACCACCTGTGAACAAGCTGCTTAGAAAACATTTCGTGCTGAGAAGGGCTCCAGCTAGTGTGGAGTTTTCCCCTGTTCCCATTAACTCACTTATCTGTTATCTTCAGCCATGTAGCATGCTACATGTATCTACCTGTGACAATTAAGAGGAGTGATCATTTATAGTCCTTGTGGAAACTGTCCTATTTTAATACTTTGTTTTGAGACACCACCACCATGTTGAACAGGATAAAATCTGTACTTCTAAGGATGAGAGATTATGGAACAGTTTGGCTAAGGCTATGGCTAGTTCAAGTGCAGCTACAATACTGGCATCTACACAAACAAATTGAATTTTCGCCAAGTATGGATGTTGTTTTTGACAGGAAAGTCAGGCCAATTATCACGACTACTTTCAGAAATATAATAGTGGTTGGCCTTACCAGCAACACCCAAATGTACAATAAAGAATGGGGGAAAAGGGAAAGCTTATCCTCACTCAAATCTCCAATATCTTTCATGAATGTAGTTGTAAAGGTGACCAAGCACTGGCCGACTACATTAAACTTGGCCATAATTAACAGCAGTTACATAACTCAAACACGAAATACTATTTTTAAATATAACTTAACAGGTAAGATTTTTATTTTGGTCACTGATAATAGGCATATTAAGTTGCCTTCAGATCCATTTTTACAGCATTTTGTAAAGTTCAAATTTACAGACATTAGAAAACAAGTTAACTTGATACTGTCGTTTGTTTTGAAAATGCAGCTGGTTCAAACAGTATTGTATGTTGTAAATGAAACTAACTATATGTTGTCTTCATCAGATTCATCATCTTCCTCAAGTGATTCCTAAGGATGAAAATAAGTTGGTGAGGGGAGCGTATTGTGCAAAGTGTGAAATGAGAAAAGCTATATTATGGAAATTACAAGTTTTTCCACTTACTTTGGCATATTTTTCTGCTTCCTCTTTGATGTCTTTAGGTACAAGTTCATGTCTGCCTTTTGTAACTGCCAAGAAAAGTATTAAGTTACAAAAGTATTAAAGTCTACATTTCAATCCTACTTCCCTTCTCCACAATCATGATGCCTGTCACAAAAAGTGTACATAACTTCCATAATTCATTTGATAAGTTTACTAATACTGGTCCCTTCAGTTGATTTAATTAGGTTGAACAAGTACAGGGTAGGGGGGTGGGGTGTAGAAGAGATTAAGAATGAAGAAAGATATAGCAAAGTCAAAGCATGTAGTCATTGGATATGTAAAGAAACAAAGAAGACATCTAGGGGAAGTATAAGTGGCTAAACAACAGCCATCCAAATGTGGAATACAAGGAAGAAAAGGAAGTTAGCAAAATATGAACATGCAATGGTACAAAGGAGAAAGGTTACAATCTAAAACAGTGGGCCTCAACATACAGTCCAGAAATTTGTAGTGTCTAGTGAAAGAGGTACTATTCCAGTTTGAATTAAGCTTCATTCATGCACTGCAGAAGGTCAAGGACAGAAAAGTAGAGAATTATGACATAACTGGAAACAAATTTATACTTTTGAAATAAACAGATGTTCAGCAAACCAGAGACCTAGTCTGCCTGGTATCCCGGACAGGGAATGCACCTTCTCCTTGAAGGCAGCATGGTAGCTCAGTGGTTAGCACTGTTGGCTCAGCGCCAGGGACCCAGGCTCCCTCAGGTAACTGTCTGTGGAGTTTGCACATTCTCTGTGTCTGCATGGGTTTCCTCCCATAGTCCAAAGATGTGCAGACTAGGTGGATTGGCCATGCTAAATTGCCCAGAGTGTTCAAGGTTGCCTAGATTAGGGGGATGCTCAGAGGGTCAGTCTGGACTTGTTGGGCCAAAGGGCCTGTTTCCATACTGGATGGATTTATGTTGATTCTATTTAGGAAAATTGCAATCAGATGTACAAACACAATACTAAATTGAGACACTCAGTAATTATGGAGCCTTGGCTGGTGAAAGATGTGGTAAAAGGGAAGGCACCTCCTGAAGTTGCATGAACAGAGGTACAGCAGTAACGGGAGGGGTATTGAAGTAGAAATGAAAGGGGTGATGAGCTGATATAGCTGCAGGGTGGAGCCAATGACAAATGATCTATTGAAAATAGTGACCTAGCAGGACAGAGGGTAAGGACTAGGGGAATCCTACCATGAGTTTGCAGGGGATGAGCAAAAAAAAAAGTAGAATAGCTAGGGCTCTTGATTATGTCTATCACAAAGCAGGGGAAGATATATGCAATCTGTCAAATCAGACTTGATACAAGGAGAAACCAGGAGAATGGAACAGAGCTTTACAGGAAGCACATTATGAGAAAATAAATAATCAAAGCAGTTGAGAGAGTCCATGGGCTTACAGTGAAGTTAGCTCCCTGCTTTAACCACTTAATCTTACAAGCCAATGGCTTTTTGAATAATGTACAGCAGAGGTTGAAGAATCGCACATCCTTCAAGCATACCTCTGTGGCAGTTGTCTGATGAATTAATAGCAGTTTGGAGTATTGGAGGCCTGTACTAGCTCATCAGGTGACAGTCTCCCAGAAGATCAATCCTAGTGCATCATCAGTTTGAACTGAAATCATTTAATTGAGGCTGCGAGTAAGTACAAGTTAGCCTTAACTTAGTTTTTGATCACAATTAAAATCTGGATTCAGAAAGGAAATTTGGAGCTGTGGGGTAAAAAAAGGGCCTTTACAAGTTTTTTAATATTACACGTAGCATTAACTGAACATTACTACTCCATCTCATGAACTTTATTGCCTAGATGAAGGGCAACCGATGCATGGGAACACAACCCGCAATTTCCTCCACACCACACCCCAGTCTGACCTTGGAAGTAAATCACCATTCCTTCCCTGTCACTAGGCTAAAACCCTGGAACTCCCTCCCTAAATGCACTGAAGGTTCCTACATTACCATGGACTGCAATGATTTCAGATGGTGGCTTACTACTACCACCTTCTTAGGCAATTAGGGATGGGCAACAACTGCTAAATCAGCTAACAATACTTATATTTCATGAAGGAGTTAACAATTCCTGTATAGGAACAGTCAAAAGAAATATTAATTAAAATTGCCCATGTTGGCGAAAAACAAAAGTCAAAATTAATGTCGATGTTAAATCACAAGTTATCAAAACATCACTAGACAACTTTTAGAATTAGAAAAGAAAAGACATTACTTTCTCCAACCCAGCTTAACTCCAACTCGAAGGATTTATCCTTAACTTCATCATGGACGATGTAGATTCTGAAGAGTAAATAATAAAGGGTACTTTTTTTAAAAATTGCAAAATTTCACATTGCCAAAGAGCAGCACTGAATCCTAATAACTACAGGAGGATGTGACAAGGTTAAAAATAAGGTCTGAGGTCAACCACTGAAGTCTGAAGCAAAAGAAGATACAATCAGGTAAAATACTTTAAGTCTTCACCACTGGCCAACCTAAATAACTTATTTACAAACGTAATGGACTAATTGTAGGGACATAGTATCCTCCAGTTCCACACTGGACTCCAGCATCTGCAGTTCTTCCTATCTCATAGTAAGAATAGTATTCCCTTTATTCCTTTCCTAGGTGGGGTGCCAGGGATGGAGACACTTCCTAAACCACGAGCACTGGTAACATACCACTGACGTTGAACAAATTAGTACTGCTCCATCTGGTGGCACAACTGAGAATTAAAGAATGCAAAAAATCATTTTATTTTGATAGACTATTAACTTCTAGACAGTTAATAGTAAAGACCTTAAAATTGAAACACTCCACATACATTTTTTTGTCATTGATTAGCATGCAATTGTCAATAGCCTCAGTGTGAAATCAAGCAGGGGCTGCTTAAATTTTATGTTTATTGAAGAAAATCATGTAATATTCTATGTAATTTGTGTAGGTAAATGTCATTCACTCATTGGATCTGACCCCTTGTACTTGAATACACATTTAAAACAGATGTCAAGTTACTTCTTCTCCCAGAGGGTCATCAATGCTTGGAATTCTCCAAGCTTGAGATTATGGAGGTTAACTCATTGAAAGTATTGACGAAGTAGTGTTTTTTTTTGAGACCTGGGGCAGATCAGTCATGACCTCATGGAGCAAGGCTTGAAGGGATAAATTGTACTAATCCTGCTCCTATTATGTTTTGTCCTTATAAAAATCAGGTTTCACACGTAAGTATTTTTTAAACACAGTACTGATTATTGCAGCTATGAGCCACTGTTTCTAAAACCAATGTGTTTCTCCCACCACATCATACCCTGTACTGTTCTGAAAGTAAAAACTTATATTGCTTATCTATCAGTTAGAAAATTAGCAGTAGAAGAAAAACTCCTTCATACAAAGCAAATATCTATTCTTATAAATTGTACTTCAAACCCAGAACATGCCAGTAGTACCAAGTTTTCACTTCCCACAGTCATTTCCGTGACTGGGAAGAATTCTTGAATGATTCTCTGCTGCACACCCCCAAGGTTAAATTTGGAACAGTTCTCCATTTCACCAAGAGTCTTCACATTCTGCAAAAATAGCATGTTCTCTTAAATCCGAGCTAGACTAAAACCCTGACCCCCTTAGATCAAAGTGCATTGCTAAAGCACAATATGGTTTTTTCCCTCCCTCTTATGTGCTGACTATTAAATTAGATTATGCCAGTTCAATCCTGTCAAGTTCCAACTTGCACTTAGGTCAATGAAAAACTGGATTATGCCAGTTTCCCTTTCCCAAGGACTTATCCAGTGGAAAGCACAGCTACAAAGATCAGGAATATCCCAACTTTGACCACGAGACCCAAGCAGTAGAAAAAAGTTGACCTAAACACCTTGGTTATAAAACGACAAAAAAATACCCAGCTTTCCAACTCCTGATCAGTGTCGAGTTACTGCTTTTTAATGCACATGGATACAAGGCCAGATTTGTGATGTTATAATTCACACCAAGAGATAAGTGAGGGGAAAAGATGGAGAAGTAAATTTACAAGGTTTTATCAAAATGATTAGAATTCTAATCTAGAAGTGCTTAATATTGAGATTGTTGACTTGCTCGCTTGTTTTCGTTCTACGTTTTGTCACCATGCTCGGCAATATCTTCAATGAGGCCTCCGATGAAGCGATGTTCTGCTCCATTTGGAATTTATACTGCCCAGTCCGTTATAGTGTGCAGTACCATTTCCGGTTTTGCTCTGTACGGGTTTGTATATGGGGTCCAATTCCATATGTTTGTTGATTGAAGTATGGGCAGCGGGGAAGAGAACCATACCTCTAGGAATTCCCGTGCATGTCCATGTATGGCTTGGGCTACAACAGTTACTTTGTTCCAGTTAAACTGATGGCCTTCATAGTCAGAGTGTACTCATGTTAAGGAAAGTTTGTTGTGTAGTTTTGATGCTAGCTGATCATGTGTTTGATGGCTAGTTTCCTTCCTGTCTATCCAATATAATGTTTGTGGTAGTCGTCATACGGTACTTGGTAAACTACATTGGTTCTGCATGTTGTGGGAATGAGATCTTTAATCCTTGAATGTTTTTGTCATAGTGGCTATGGGCTAGTGTGCTACCATAATTCCTAGTGGTCTTAGGAGTCTCATGTCAGTTCTGATATGTTCTTGCTGTAGGCCAGTGTGGCCAGTGTGTTAGGACGTACTGTGTCTTCCTGTTGTTGTCTGTTTTGTAGGCATCTGTGGATGAAGTTGCGGGGATATCCGTTCATAGCGAAGATTTTGTATAGGTGCTCGTACTCTTTCTTGCATAGTTCTGGCATGTTGCCGTGAGTGGTGGCCTGTTTAAATAGTGTCCTAATACAGCTTTGTTTGTGGACGTTGGGGTGGTTGCTGTTGAAGTTGAGGATTTGGTCATTGTGGGTTGCTTTCTTGTATACCAAGGTTTGGAACTCCCCGTTGGTCATACATTCAACTCTGACGTCGAGAAACGGAAGCTGATTGTTGTTTTCTTCTTTTCTCGTGAATTTAATCCCTGCAAATTTAACTGGGACAACGTAACCGTAGCAGCCCATGCCAAACATAGACATGCATGGGAATTCCTAGAGGCATGGTTCTCCACCCATAATGCAGTCAACAAACATAGAATTGGACCCCATATACAAACCCCTACAGAACAAAACCGGAAATGATACTACTCACTATAATGGACCGAACAGTATAACTTGCAAGTGGAGTAGAATAACATCGCTTCAGTCGGAGGCTCCACTGATGTCACTTAACATGTTCAGACATTTTGTCACCAAAAACAAGCCTGCTCAGCAAGCAAATCAACAACCTCACCCACAGATCTTCGCTAAAACTTTAAAGTATTTAATATTATTAAAAGATAGTAATATAAGCAAGCTGTCACAAGTGTCTTTACAGAGCAGAGCAATGTCAATCATAGCCTCTAATAGCTTGCATATTGAACAACGGATCAAAAATGTTGCATTTTTAAAGTAGTGCCCACAGGAACAGAGAAAAGAAAGAGGAAAAAATCCTATGCAGCAGGTACATTAGTCATTTAATTGGTACTAAGACATCAAGACTGTTTAACCAAAGAAACCTCAAATAGTTAGCAAAGCGTTCTAATCAATCTTGAGCAATTATAAACTTACATTTTTGCAACTTCTTTAACCACTTCCCTGCAAGTCATGTCTTTCATCTGTAAAAGCAGTTAAGAGGGAGGGGAAATAGTGAATCTTCAGTATACCCTCATTGATTGAGTACCTACACACGAGTGCCTTATCAAATGTAACTCCATTTAAAGATCCAAACAATTGGACCAGGGTACACTTGTAATTCAGCCGGTTTTGAAGTCATAAATTGACTTAGAATTCTTCACAGAAACATTCATGTCTACATTTAAATCTGGCACATTTTAAAACCTCTACTGCTAAGAGGGAGTAATTACATCATAGCCATACAATATTGTTTCATTTCCGTTATCAAAATTTGTAGCAAAGTTGACAGAAAATGATAAATAAAGTTAGGTATTTGCTATCTAGAGAACAGATATCCATTCTCAAAGTAGTCTCTTAAGCTATGTGTTTTTGGTTTTTAGAGAAAATTCAATTTCAAAATCAACTAAACTCAGGCCACTTACCTACTGTAATTAAACACTGTGGCCTCAAAAGGACAGACAACTTAAATACAGTTTCCCTCAACAGCAAACCATTGTTATGGTATACTCATCATAATGAGTAATCAATGTCATGGGAGACTTACTAATATTCATGAAAGCAATTTTAAAATGAAAAAAAATTTCATGTTATGTTGCTGATAATGACCCCAATACTATATTAAGAATACATAAGACATTTTGTCATTAACCTTTGTGCACAAGCTGCAAAGAGCCTCTTCACATCTCCTATAATAAGTCTCCTGCATTTATTCCAAAAGAGATGCCTTTGGCAAAAAAGGTAATGTTACTTAAGGAGTGTGATTTCTGAATTTATTTGGATTTTCTTTTTTAAAAAGTGGCTTTTGGATTTGGTCTGTGCCCATGAAGGCGTTTAATGATTAGCTTGTAGGTATTTCAGTAGGTGGTTTTTTGTTTTTTTTTTAAAACAATAGCTGTGTGTTTTTGGAGACTAACTGAAATTTGTTTACATTGGAAGAGATTATACGATCAAATAATAAAAGGTTATGCATTAAGTTTTTTAGCATAGAAGATCAGAGATCATTTTTTCCTCTTTAATTAGAGAAAACACCCCATACCTTGGACATAAGCTTTTGGGTTTCAGTTTAGCAGGTTTGCAGAAGTCTTGGCTGAAGTTGGACATATAAAACAGTTGCCCATGATAAAAGGGGAGATGGTTTAGAACGGTGAAGAAATGGGTTACTTCAGCATAAGCAGTTTTGTTTGAAGCTTCTAGACCAGAAGTGTTTTGTTACAATCCTGAAGATATGAATTCGAAGTTCAGATTCTCAGGATGAGGAATTGAAGTCACACTTGAATTAAGCCCAACACGTCAGGAGAAGGGAATAACAGTGTAAAGGAATGCTTTTGGGATTAACTGGTTTGTAACTTACCAAGTGTTTCCAAATCTTTAAACCTGTTCTGTGTAAATAGCTTTGGTTATCGTTTTATCTTCACTTCTTTTGCATAATAAACTTAACTTTATTGTTAAACCCAAATCTGTTGGATTGGGTATCTGTTTTTATTACTATGAGTTGTTTAAGTTTGTTTCATTAATACCAAAAAAAACTTGATCCAAACCAGATTTCAGTCTGGGAACGGATATGTCAATAAACTCACTCTCACACACTCAGCATATTATACTTTTAACACCTTCAAACTACAACATGCATCAAGATCAAACATCAACATCAGAATCCAAACAAAAAAAAAATCTTCCTTTGATCTGGCAGTTGAGCCAATCTAACCCAACAAATATGCCCAAAACGTCACCTCAGTAGTTTGTTACCATATGCTTGCATTTCATTTCTTTACGTTGAATTCATTTCAGATTTATGGCTTACCTGCAGCTTCTCAATCTCTGTTTTTGCAGCTTCTTTAGCTTTTCCAATTGCACAACCCCAGTAACCCTACCAATATAAACAAAATTCTAACCACAAAATATTCCAGTATAAATGCAGAAAAAAGAAAATCAGTCATTAACAAGAAGTTACATAGTAAACAATCTTTCCAAGACCAAAGAAGTCTCTCAAATAGTAGCTTAGTAGAGACAATTTATCTTGCAAGGCACAGATTACAGACAGTTACACCAGGATAATAATCTATCCCTGTTCTCACAAACCTCCAAGCTGCTGACACCTCAACTGAAATAAGAGTTCAGATGGGTGTGCACTAATTTCTGTGATGAAGCAAACTAAATGTTTAAACATAGTGCATTTACGCTGCAAGAATGGCACCGTTTCAATTGCCAAACTATCATTAAATCTGCAATGTAAATTTGGTGTCAGGATCCAACAAAAAAACTTGAATAGAGCAAGGTGAAGCAAGAAGCCAAATTTCAACCAGCCTTGATGTGACGCAATGATCCCATGTCAAACCAGGTTTAAGATATTCAATATTGGACAATTTAGTTTTGAAGTTATGATTATGCAGATTTAAGCTAATACAAATATCTGCGAATTCGTCCCATAACTATTTAACAGGATGTTAACAGTTATGGAAGTTTAATTAGTATTTACTAACTTGTTTTAAAGCCATTTCTTATAGTCTGCCGACAGTAAATTCCAGAAAAAGTCAGCCAGGCATCATGTTCATGGACAGGTACTTACGTGGGACACTCCTGAAGGGTCAATCATGTACATCTGAGCTCCATCATCTTGATCATAAGACCCCATTATAAAGCTACGAGGAAACAAAATTTCTAAACAAATTTGCATCACAGATTTTCACCTTCAATAAAAAGGTACCCATAAACAATGGGTAAAAACAATGCAGGTAAAGCTACTTCACAGCAAGAGCAAAGGAGATGTACAAGTGTAGAGAGCACCAGAGGTTCAAAATATGCCATGGAGAGTACAAAAGAAAATGAGCATAAGAACTGAGCGAGACAGCAATTATAAATAGTTCAGATTGCAAGAGCTCCAGTCTGTAGGTTCATGGTCCATGGCCAGAAAGAAAACGTGATGTGGCCTCACAGGGAAGTAGGCAGGTGACTGGGTGGGGAGCTTTTCATATTTCTTTGATCTAACCTATGGAATTTCAATGGAGGAAAGTAGAAAATTATTTGAAATAAAATAAACACCAGTGGGTCTTGAAGTACAATTTAATCAAGAAATTAATTCATTAATTAAACTGTAAAAATGGTTTGGCAGGTGATGTATCACAGGTACAGTACATGGAAATCCATTAACACCAAAGCAATCCCAAGAAAACTCAATGCCTGTGGCTTAAAGAACTCTGGCTCAGAATTAATCAGCTAGAATCTGACTTGGACACCTACAGCTGGAGGGGTAAAGTGACCCATACACTTTGTTCCATGAGGCAACTGCACACCTTGAGGTGAGGATCTTCTAATTTAGTCCATGGTTAGGGATAGGAGGGTGTGACTGAGTGAGCAAGTATGAAAGATAGTGAAAGAAGCATTTTAGCCTTAGCCTCTGCAATCATTCAACAGATTTGAAGGTTCTTGTGGAGATAAGAATGGTGACTACGAAGCAGATGATTAAAACAGAGCATTGCACTATAATACAGGAAGCAACTCAATGGTCTGGGGTATAGATAGTTCACCGTAGCCAGGAGTGACAGTTCAGTTGACTGCGTGCATGGGTTCAGAACACCTACACAGGGCTGGCAAGGAACTTGCAGGAGGAGGAAGGAGACCTGTCTACATGTTGTGGTCCATGCTGGAACGAACCACCTGCATAGGTGAGGGGGGAAAGAATTAAAAGGAACCTGAAAGGCAACTTGTTCCACACAGACAGTGGTGCATGTATGGAATGAGCTGCCAGAGATGGTGGAGGTAGGTACAATAATACATTTAAAAAGGCACCTGGACAGGTACAGGAATAGCCAAGGTTGAGACAGATACAGACTAAATGCTGGCAAATGGGACTAGATCAATTTAGAATATTTGGTCGGTGCAGACGAGCTGGTCCGAACGGTCTGTTTTTGTGCCGTGTAACTGACTCTAATTGGGAGAGAGGTCCTCTTTAGGAATATGAGCAACTGAGGGCTAAAATTTAAAAGGAAACTCAAAGGTAATGAGCTCTAGATTATTACATAGCTGAGCAGATGATTGGGACAGGGCAAATAAGATTAGGAAGTTTAATGCAGGGCTCTAAGATTGGAGAGGAGAAATAGTATTTGATTCAATACTGGGGAAAACAGTTGTTGTACTTTTTGGATAGGCCCATATGAACCATGCTGGGACCAGTGTTCTGGCGTGTTATATAACTCTGTAATAGACAGGGCTTTAAACTAAAGAGTTGAGAGAGGGATCACCAGATGGACAAGTGAAAGGAAAGGGACAATGCAAGAGATAAAGATAGCAATAATGGTAATATAAGAATTTGCCAGGAAGAGACAGAGCATACAAACTAGAGTGCAGTGGAAGAAAAGAGGTTGTAAGATTAGTAAAATGGATGGAACAAAGATTTTCTGAATCAGTGTAATATTCATGACAACAGATGGATTATCAACTCAAATAGAAATAAATATGTGTGACCTGAGCCATTACAAAGACATGGCTGCACTTCGACCAACGTTAGGGCCTGCATTCTCAAGGGTACTGGAAATTTTGGAAGCGTAGGAAACTAGGAAAATATGGTGGAGTAGCTCTATTAAGGGTGACATTTGTATAGTAGTAAAAGATGGCCTTTGTTTTAAAGTTCAAGTTGTATAATAGATTGGAGTACAAATAAGAAATAGTCAAGTTAAAGAGTCACTTGTGAAAGTGGTTAATAGAAGCCCAACAGCAATTACAATAAAGAGGGTACACTGGAAGAAACAATGAGGGTTTTTAAGAAAAGGTACAGCAATAGTGGGTGATTTTAAATTACATATAAAATTGGATGAAATAGTAATGGTAGCCTGGAGTGTTTTTTAGAACAATTTATTTGAGCAGCATGTTCTAGAACCAGAGCAGGCTATTCTCAGCCTGGGAAATGTACAATCAAATACAATTAATTAGCGACCACATAGTAAAATGATCATAACAAGTATGCAATTCAGTCATGTTTTTAAAGAAAACAGTAAGATTTTGAGTAGGTCATGACATTACACAATTTTTAAAAACAAGTGAGGGCAAAGTTAGAATATGAAAGAAAGCTAGCTAGAAAGAAAATCTTATAGTCTGGAGTGACAGGTTGGTGGGGGTCACAAGTATTCTTGGGGGTGGGAATGCGTGTTTGCAGTTGTATGAACCAAATATATAGTCTGGAATTAAGACTGTGCATTTAATAGTTACTCTGGAAAAGTTAAAATTTATTTACTAATTTCATCAGAACTCTCAATTCTGATTTTGGATGGTTCCAGGAAAAGGGGAATTGCCCAAAAGAATCTTCAGTTCCTGGTTCATTCCTGCTGCAATGGCATTCTGCAGGATTCCCATGAACAACTCCTATCTATGCGTAGACAATGACTGTCTGGTCATCAGGAAATCTGGGCCTGTATGACTTCGGTAGGTAAAGTGTGAACAGGACAGAAAAAATCCGCAAAAGGGATTTGGAAACACGAGTGGAGAAAAATTTGGCAGAAATAGCACAATGTTGGAAAGTGTGAACTTCTGATTTGGCAGAAAGACTAAAATGAAGAGAATGGAGAATTCTGCAGCATCATGTGATCTGGTTGTCAGATACATGACTCAAGTTTGGTATGCAGCTGAAGCAAGTTATGAGGAAGGCAAATGGAATGAAGACCTTTAAAGCAAAGGGAATTAAAATATCAAAGTAGGGAAATTTTGCTACAGTTGTACAGGCTGTTGGTGAGGCCACATTTGGAGTACAATATACAGTTTTGGTTTCCTTACTTAAGGGAGGATACAATCACATTAGAGATAGCAAGAACTGCTGATGCTGGAGGAACACAGCAGGCCAGGCAGCATCAGATCAGGAAAGTTGACATTTTGGGTCAGGACCTTTCTTCCAAAATCTGAAGAATCACATTAGAACCAGTTCAGAGCAGATTCACTCAACTGATTCTTGAGCTGAAATGGTTATCTTGTGGGAAGGTTGGATATATTGGGTTTGTATCATTGGAGTTTAGAAGAATGAGTGATGAACTTCTTGTGAGATAAGACAACCCTGACGCGACTTGACAGGATGAATGCTGAGAACATGTGCCCCTAACAAGGAGATCAGAACTAAGGGATAGAGTTTAAAAATAATGGGGGCTCACATTTATGATAGCGATAAGAAATATTTTCTGTCAGAAGCTGGGGAGTTCTCTTCCCTAGACAGGAGTGAATACAGGGTCATTAAATATTTTTAGCACCGAGTTAGATGGATTCTTCATTGACAAGTCAGAAAAGACAACTTAAGGCCACAAACTTAAAGGCAAAGCAGGCTCAAGGTGCCAAATGGTATACTCTTGCTACTAATTCATACTATGTAAGTAATGCAAAATGTTTGGCAGAGCATAAAATGTCAGTGGCTTGCACATTTCACTGATAGTCAACAGGAGACTATAATTCCACACAATCTTCAAGCTCTTCATTCATATTCTTCTCTCCCACACACCCACACCTTAGAGTAACTGTATAAAATACATTATAGTCTTCAGAATGCTAGCAATAATTTTACAATAAAATTACCTGCTTCCAAATGGCCGCACTGCACTATACAATGTGTAAGCATGGACATACATTGCCACTCTGTCTGCCAGATGCTAAAGGAAAAAAATGTTTAAAAAAAAAAAAAAAACAACTTAACACTTGTGATAGCCTTCCATTACATCACTATTCTACATTTGCCCGAAGACCTTGTTTCTATCAAATATAAAATTTGCATTTTAAAATTTTAGTAAATGATAAACCTTTAAACACTTGCAAAATCTTTGAGAATGTACCAAGTATAACAAATTTTCTGCTTATAGACTCAAATTACAGGGATAAACAGACAAAATACATGCAATTGATGCTTCAGATTTTTAAATACATTGTTTTTCATTCAGCTTTTTCTTAACTTTTACAAACTATTGTTTGAATGGGTTGGATAATGGAGGAAAATCAGGAAACATACAAAACTTCAAATTTTTCTGGAAAACTTTCAGTTTGATTCTGTCAATCTGTTTGGTCTTTTTTATTAAGAAAAATACCGTAAAATTCATAAAGTTTTTTATCAAATAAAATTATATAAAAAGATTGATAATTTCTCTATTCACTATTTTTATAGGTTAGTAAATTTCAGTTACAAAAATGTGAGATGATGATAATGTCGGTTGAGTAAATAACCCATTAGTGTAATCTGCAACCTCCAGCCCAAACTCTTGGCTCCCTCCAGTGGTAGAATCCTATGGTTATTAGGAACTATTTTTCCAAAGTTGCCATTTTTGAAATACAAGTTGGCATAATGTCAGCAGGGAACATGTTCAAAAGGCCACTGTAGCATAGCCACTCTTGCACATGTCTATGTCTGGCAAGTACATTTTAGACAGAGGTTGCTGAATATCAATCATAAGTGGTGAAATTTTTGAAATAAAGTCATTCCTTTCTTCTCATCCCATTTCATCTACCTTCTTTCCTTTACCAAATACTAAAACGTCAAGGCTAATTGTCATATATTCACTACCTACATTCTCCAGTTGCTGTACAGCCCTCCCAGGTCTGTGCGCAATAGCACGTGTGGAAACCAGAAGTGACTACCTCTCGTGCATGGCCTCTTGGAGCAGTTGTGCATCTTAGAGGGAATATTGACTACAGAGATCTTAGCATTGGCCAGTTTATTTTTCTAGAGTTTTGGCAAAGATCTGTAGCTCGGGTTATGGGTAAGATTGTGGACTTGCTCGCCCAGACATTTCGTCACCATGCTAGGTGACATCATCAGTGGAGCCTCTGATTTTGAAGCGGTGTTATTCTACTCCGCTTGGAATTTATACTATCTGGTCCGTTATGGTGAGTAGCGTCCTTTCCGGTTTTGATCTGTATGGGTTTGTATACGGGGTCCAATTCTATATGTTTGTTGATTGCATTACGGGTGGAGAACCATTCCTCTAGGAATTCCCGTGCGTGTCCATGATTGGCTTGGGCTGCTATGGATGCGTAATGCAATCAACAAACATATAGAATTGGACCCCATATACAAACCCATACAGATCAAAACAGGAAAGGACGCTACTCACCACTAACGGACCAGACAGTATAAATTCCAAGTGGAGTAGAATAACACCGCTTCAAAATTGGAGGCTCCACTGATGATGTCACCTAGCATGGTGACGAAATGTCTGAATGAGAACATGCCAGCTCAGCAAACAAGTCAACAAACTCAGTTTATTTTTCTTCCGTCGTGCCTACTTTTGTCCATTTCCTTTCTGCTCCTACCTTAATTATAAAATTCTAGCCATAGACAATCTATTTCATTAAACTTTTTTTAATTTTCTGATTTGTAGGAAGGGACCATCACCAGTTAGGCCAGCATTGATTGTCTGTCTCAAATTGCTCATTTCAAATTGTCCTTAAGGTGGTGGTGGTGAAGAACTGCCCTTGAACAGCTACAGTCTAAGTGGTATGGGTACATCCACAGTGTTGTTAAAGAGGAAGTTCTACGGTTTTGCCCCAGGGATAGTGAATTAACGGTGAAATAGTTCCATGTCAGGATGGTGTGTGGTGATATGGCAGAAAATAAAATCACTGAGCAATTTAATTGTTCTATATTTAAACACTAAAGCTTAATCTAGTGACATGTTGTGCAATTTACCTTTACAAATATTTAAAGTTGAAATAAAACAGTGCTAAATAGATCTCATACCCTCAATGGAATATCATATCCATAATTAGATCTAAAGTTGGAAGCTTCTTCCCTTGCAATATCAGTAAGGGACCGTGCATCTGCCAGAAGACCTGCAACTGCCTGCAAAATGAAAAAGTTGCTTATACTAATGTCCATTTAAAATACACTGAAATCAAAATATACAGATATACTGTTGTAGTAAGATAGTTAAAATATGCAATGATCCATTCAGTATCTATTCTTCCTACAGAAGAGATCTTTGTACACTAGGTCAGTGTACAACAATTTTCTTGAGCTACAAAGCTTGAGTGAAATTAAAACCAAAAAAAAAAAATGGCATTTTTGGGGAAGGCTGTTTATAAAATCTTACCATTCCTACATGACGATCGATGTTAAATATGCGTTTGTTGGAGCCCTGTTCATATAGTTTAGAAAGGACCAGTTTCTCTACTCCAAACACTACTCCATCTTTACACCTTATCCCAATAGCTGTGCTGTGAAATTAAATTGAAACAACACATTAAATACTGAATTCAATAAGAGAAAAGGTGAAGTAGTTATGATCACAAACATTTGTGCATTTAGAGGGTTGAATTCTCAGTTTATAACCGTTTCTGCTTTATTACTTCTAAATATATGAAACTTTTTTTAAACCATGAAAATTATGTATCATGGCCTTAAAGCTAATTCATTTCTAGATTTATGATAGAGGTATGGGTGAATGGCGAATAACTCCGATTTATTGCTATTGAGGGTGTAGATATGCTCGCTGAGCCAGTGGGTTTGGTTGCAAACGTTTCATCACCCTGCTAGGTAACATCATCAGTGCACTTGCAGTGAAGCATTGGTGCTTTGTCCCACTTGTTATTCATATGCCTCGGTTTGCTGGAGTGGTTGGTATTACTTCCAGTTTTGTTTCTCAGGTGTTTGTACGTAGGGTCTAATTTAATGTGTTTGTTGGAGGAGTTCCAGTTGGAATACCAGGCCTCCACGAATTCTCTGGCAAGTCTGTTTGGCTTGTGCAATTATGGCGGTGTTGTCAAAGTCGAACGTGTCCCTCGTTGTCCATGTGTAGTAAGACAAGTGAGAATTGTTCGTGTCCCTTGGTGGCTAGTTGGTGTTCATGTATCCTTATTGTCAATTTTCTTCCGGTTTGGCCTATGTCGGGTTTCTCTCAATCCTTGCATGGTACTTTGTCTATTACCCCAGTTTTGCTGGTTTTGGGTATGGGATCCTTTACATTCATCAGGAGCTGTCGTAGGGTGGTTGTCAGTTTGTGGGCTATTCTGATACTTAGGGGTCTGAGTCATCTGTGGTCATCTCGGAAATGTCCTTGATGAATGGTAGGATGATTAGTGAGTTGATTGCCCACACTCCTCATCCACAACCAGAGCTACAAATCTTCTTGAAAAATTGTTGCTATTATTTAGTACACATTTGACAATGACAAATTCACATTTGGAGTTGATGCATACACAATTGATTCTCATGTGAATAACGCACAAGTATTAATTAAATGCCATCATACTCCAGAAAGAAATCAACATGCAGAAATAACCACAAGACTAGCTAAACCTCACTGAAGACTGTAAAAATGTACGCTTTCCACAAGAAAATTTTTTCTGCAATAATGACAAATTCCTTACCTACTGTTTTCTACAGCTTTCATTGCATATTCAACCTGGAATACTCGCCCATCAGGAGAGAAGGTGGAGGCTGACAAATCATACTGGAAATTAAAACCAAATCAAAAATATTATACAGCCATAAATAGTGCAAAAATAGTAAGCTTTACAAGTAAATTCAGTTGACATTAAGTTCAAAAATGTTTACAAAAGTACAAATGAGGCCATTTGGCCCAACTAGTCTGTGCTGCTTTTTATACTCCATTCATGCCTCTTAATCTAGCTACTTCATGTCAGTCTCAACACCTTTTTATTCCCTTTTGAAATCATATACTCATCTAAAGTCAGATGTGTATAGCACAGAAAAAGGCTAGTCCAAAAAAAAACACCTAACTTTTCTAATCCTATTTCCAGCATTTGGCCCATAGCCTTGTATACCTTGGCATCACAAGTGCACATCTAAATACTACTAAAATGTTAGGAGGAGATTTCTGCATCTACCTTTATAGGCAGTGAGTTCCAGATTTCTATCATCCTCCAGGTGGAGGGGTAAAAACCTTCCCCTCAAGTCTATGCCTCTCCACCAAGGGGATAATTTCTTCCTGTCTCTGCTTCTCAATTTTATATATCTGAATCATCAAACCCCTTCCCCAACTGGCACCGCTGCTCCATGGAAAACAAATCTCAGTCTTCAGCTAAATCTTTTCAAATCAGGCAACATCATGGCAAATCTCCTCTGGAATCACATCCCTCCTATCAACATGGAATCCTGAACCACCCACAATACTCCAGTTGTGGCCTGCCCAACTTTTTATAAAGTTCCAGTATAGCACCTTTGTTCTTATACTCTGTGCCTCGGCTAATAAAGGTTGAGGGTATGCCATAAGCCTTCTTAACCATATTATCTGCCTGCCCTGCTACCTTCAGAGACTGGTGGACATGCACTCCAAAGTCCCTCCAATCCCCGACAGTATGCAAGCCTTGATCGCCATTTTGGTTGTCCTTCCCACAGCCTTTCACCTTATATTGTTTGTACGTGCTGGCTAGGAGCAATGTTTGTTGGTTCTGCTTCTTGAGCGCTACTACATTTCTCTTGTACATATTCCTGCATGTGCTTTCTTAAGACGCAGTAAATAATCCAGTAATCTATATTTTTTGGTGGGTCGATGTCTCTTACTGCAAATCTAGTTTAATGTGAGCCAGATATCTTGAGGCAGAGATTTCTTGCAGATTTAGCAGCCTGGGGCAGTCTCACTCTGTCCACAAATGCCCAAATGCTGCATCGCAACATATTGATGCCTTAATTTGTATCATATTTCTCTTCAAATCAAGAAAAGGTTAAAACTCAACATGATTTTGTGGATATCATGTCGCTATATATGTATGTAATAGTTAATAGATGGTAATCAGCCGGAAGAACTCTGACAATCCCTCAAGAACTACTTTCATTTAGCCTTAACCTTTAGCACAGTGGCACAAGAGCATTACCAATATTCAATAATGAACCATATACAGATCTATGAATACAATTAAGTAAAACTCCAAAACAAAAAACCCTAATAGGCTTTCTGCCATTTTCAATCTGCTCCACCATTCAACAAGATTACAGCTGATTTGATCTTGACTTTAATTCTACCTTCCTTACCTGTCTTTATCCCTCCAATCAATCCATATTATTGATTTCCTCATCAATATCTCAATACATTCACGGCTAATAACTTTCCCGGTTCTCAGGAGGGAGTGAATTTCGTTTATATGGCCCTCAGAAGAAATTCTTTTAATTTTAAAGTTAGAAGACTTCTTATATTCTGTCCCCACACTTCTAGATTCTCCCATGAGGGGAAATATTCTCTGAGCAATTAACTAATTGTACATAACTTAAAAACCTGGCCTGAAGAGCACAATGAGGCTATAACATTGCTGCAACTACTCATCTCTGCATAGAGAAATCTAACCCACTTCTCACCAGCAACACTTTTGTTATAGTGTTAATACAAGCACGGAGCCATCTGCTTGAAGATGGAGAACCTGCAGGTAATCATAAAAGTTCCACAACACTATTTGGAAAAAAACAGAACTGGCAAGTTCATCCAAAGCCCCCTCAACATCACAAAGATAACTAAAGTAAAATTCTACAGATACTGGAAATCAAAACAAAATAAACATCTGCAAGATATTTCTAACTTTCCTCAGTTCCAAAAAGTCAGCAAGTTGGTGTGTTAACACTGTTCCACTCTACAGGTGTCTGACCTGCTGAGAATTTCCAACATTTTCATATCACAAGTTATGAGAATGTAAAATGGCTGACTATTTCAACATTACAATACTGTTGGGCTCTTGTGGTGCAGTAGTAGCATACTTGAAACTGAGTCTTCTGGCCTAGAGTTAAGTCTCAGCTGTCACAACAGATCTGACCAGGTTGACTAAAAAATACCTAATACAATAACTATTTCAAAAAGAACTTAAATGGCTGTGAAGTTCTTTGGCACATGAAATATGTTATTCAGCAAAGCAATTTCACTTGTACAAAGGTTGAGCAAAGGATTTCTGTGCAATATCATGGTCAAGTTTTATTCCTCAACCAAAGTCACCCAAAATGCAGACAGACAATCTGCTCATTAATCACGCTGCTAACTATGGAACATTACTTGTACAAGTCAGCTGCCAAATTTTCTGCATGACAACAATGAATACATTTCAAAGGCACATCACTACCTGTAAACATTTTGGGACTTCAACAGGTCAAACTGCTAAATAAATACAAGCTTTTTATTTCAAAGACAAATTCTTAGTAAAAATAAATTACAATAAATTAAAAATATGTACTGTACTTATACTGTTAAAATGCTTTCCAAGATATTGAGGTCTACAAAATCATGAGAGGTATAGACAGGGTGGATAGCAAGAAGCTTTTCCCCCCCCCCCCCCCCCAAAGTGGGGGACTCAATTACTGGGGGTCACGATTTCAAGGTGAGAGGGGAAAAGTTTAAAGGGGATATGTGTGGAAAGTTCTTTACACAGAGGGTGGTGGGTGCTTGGAACGCGTTGCCAGCAGAGGTGGTAGGGGCGGGCATGATAGCGTCATTTAAGATGTATCTAGACAGATACATGAATGGGCAGGGAGCAGACGGATACAGATCCTTGGAAAATAGGCGACAGGTTTAGATAGAGGATCTGGATCGGCGCAGGCTTGGAGGGCCGAAGGACCTGTTCCTGTGCTGTAATTTTCTTTGTTCTTTGAGACACTCCTGTAACGAGATCTTCAAAACACAGAAATACAATATTGTGGCCACAAGAGGGGCCTGGTTCTAAGAAGGACTAGACTAGGTATTAAATATTTCTGGATACAAGGTGATGGAGAAAGGTAAGGGAAGGACAAAAAGGAGGAATTGTGACAGTATTAAGGAGATAGAGGGTGTTCTGCAGGGGTCAAGTACAGAAACTATTTTGCCAGAGCTAAGAAAACTTAAGTGCCATTACATTGTTCAGTATAGTTTGTCAAACACTAGTATGAACAATATAGAGGGATCAATTTGTAAGGAAATTTCAGAGAAGTACAAAAATGTTAGAGTATCTATGAAAGGGAACTTTAACTCCAATATAGACTTTGGTAGTACAAGTAATAGTGCAAAGAGCAAACAGTGGCAGGAGTTGGAGTGTGCTGAGGAGGTTTTCTCCAACAATCTTTCTTCCAAACAAGTGAAAAAGAAAACATTGTTGGACCTAGTTCTTTGAAATGAAATAAGCCAAGTGTCTGTAAGGGAACAGTGATCATATCACAACGTTTAGGCATGCTACGGAAAAAGACAAGGAATGAGAATTGGGGAAGAGCAAAGTTTAATGGGATGAGAATGAATGTGTTCCCAAAAAAAAAACTAAAGTCGAAGATTCACAGCAAAACTTCAACTAAGCAATAGGTTATCTTTAAAAAGATGTTAATTAGGATACAGAAAAAGCACATTCCCATGGGGGAGAAAGGTGGGGTAAACAAATCCCGAACTCCCTGGATGACGAAAAAGAAAGATAGAAAAGAAAAAGGTGCATACGTTATTTTCTCACATTGGTGGAAGAATCAAAAGCGACAGGACACAGATCAAAGATTATTGGCAAAAAAAGCAATGTAACATGCATTGTCATTAAAATGTGAAATGTACTGCTTGAAAGTATGGTGGAGGCAGATTCAATCATGCTCTTCAAATAAGATTTGAATCATTATCTGAAGAAAGAAAAATTGCATTGTCATAGAGAAGAGCAAGGCACAGACTTGACAGACTTAGATGTATCCATTGTTTGTGATTTTTTGCTCTCCACTTGTTCTAAAGTTGTGCTTACTGAGTATACAATCTTACATAAGAAATAGGAACAGGAGTAGGCCTTTCAGCCTGCCCACCATTCAACATCATGGCTGATATGCCCCAGGCATCAACTCTTCTTTCGTGCCAGCTCCTCATTGCCCTCAAATGCTCAATATTTAAACTAACTACTTGCAGTGATCTAACTTCCACAATTCTGAGGTAGAGAATTCCAGTCAGTCACTACCCTCTAGACTAAGAAATTTACTTGCATCTCAGTTTTAAATAAATGTCCCTAGTTCAAGTTACCCCACTGCTGGAAACAACTTCTCGACATCTATTTTGTTGAAACATACACAATTGAGGGGATTCAATAAGATCAACCATCATTTTTCTGAACTCTAAACGTCTAATCCGTTTAGCTGTTCTTAATAAGTCAGTCAACCCCTTCATTCCAGGAATCAGTTTTTTCAATGCCAGTACATCCCACCTGATAGTCAGGGACCAAAATGATGCAGTATATCCCAGGTACAGCCACACCAAAACCCTACTTACGTATAAAGGCCTCCCTATTTTTAAACTCTAATCCCCTAGCAATGAAGGCCAAAATTCCATTTGCCTTCTTAATTAGGTGCTGCACCCAGATGCAAACTACTTATATTTTATGCACAAAAGCACCCTGATCCCCCTGTTGTGTACATTTTTTGGGAGTCTCTTCCATTTAAAGAGTTTTTTTTTAATTCTTCCTACCACTCTAAACATTAAAGTCCATCTGCAAGATTCTACCACTCACTCAACCCATCAGCCCTTGATAGTTTAGCACAATCCTCCAGATCAGACTCTGACCAGGAGGGCTATGGAACATTTCTTCATGAATCCTTGACATAGGGACCACGTTCCACTGAATACAGTACAAGCCATGTTATGAAAATATAGTAGATTATGAATGTTGATTAATTATTGATGCTTCGTCCCTAAACATCAACCAAGAAATCCTAGGGTGGGCGAGTCCAAAACTTGAGGGCATAGGTTCAAGGTGAGGGGAAAAATTTAAAAAGGACCCGAGGGGTAACTTTTTCACAAAGTGGGTGGTGCGTGTATAGAATAAGATGCCAGAGGAAATGGTGAAGGCCGGTACAATTACAACATTTAAAAGGCATCTGGATGGGTGTATGAATATGAAAGATTTAGAGGGATACAGGCCAAATGCTGGCAAGTGGGACTAGGTTAGATTAGCATGTCCGGTTGGCATGGACGAGTTGGTCTGAGGGATCTGCTTCTATGCTGTATGACTATATATCCAGATTCCTCTACAGACTATTTATATTTTTGTCACAACATACCTTCGCATCTTTTTAGTATCAGTAGGAAATCAATACATTCTGTCCCCACCAAGTCATTAATATAGATAGTAAATAATTGAGGAAAAGGACTGATCCTTGTGGCACTCCTCGTTCTGTTGACAAATCCATAATCTGTGTAAATACACTACCCTTAATACCATGAAGTCCCATCTTATGCACCTGGGGCAGCATAGTGGCTCAGTGGCTATCCCTGCTGCCCCAGGTGCACCAGGGACCTGGGTTCAATTCCAGCATCAGGTTTGTTTGTTTTCCCCTTCTCTGCACGAGTTTCCTTCGGGTGCTGCAATTTCCTCCCACAGTCTAAAGATGTGCAGGTTGGGTGGATTAGCCATGGGTAACACAGGGATAGGGTGGATGGGCGAGTGGGTGAGTCTCGATAGGATGCTCTTTGGAGAGCTGATGTGGACTTTTTGGGCCGAATGGCCTGTTTCCACAATGTACCGATTCTATAACATCTATGGCAATAATCTTTTATACAGCACCTTATCAAATGCCCTCTAGAAACCCAAAAACACCACCTCCCAGTTCTCCTTTATCAACTCTGGTGGTTATATCCATAAGAACGCTGGCAAATTTGTCAGCCATGACCTTCCTTTCACAAATTTATGTTGACTGACTGCATTAATAAATAAATAGAATGACCGCAAACCAACATAAGTCTTTAAACAAACAAACTGTTATCCTTTCAGCAAACACCTGATCTTACTTTTCTTTAAAAAAACTAAAAACGAGAAAATGCTCACATCAGACAGTATCTATGGAGAGAGAGTTAGTGTTTCAGGTCGACATTACCTGAACTCTCATTACTCTCTACACAGATGCTGTCTAAAATCTGGATGCATTTGAGTTAAGTATTTCCAGGCTTTTTAAAATTTCAGATTTCATCAAGAGTATTCTGTTTTTCGTTTTTGTTTTCTTTTGTTCATTAGTCTTGGATGATAGCAAACTTACAACACTCTAGAACAATCTATTGGAAGTAGGGAGGGGGGAAAAACTGATAAATAGGGCTCTCCTGAATTTATATACAAAATTATTAAACGAATTGGTAACACGTTTTAAAACGTGAGCTAAATGTGAATTAACGCAGAATTTACAAAATGAAGTGATATACAAACTAGTCATAAAGAAAACTCACGTCAAAGTCAAAGACCCAGCTATCTTCCCGTACGCAGATGTTTTCAACGTGAAAAGCAGCGAACGAGCAGGAAGCCGCTTTCTGCCGAGATCCCAATTTGAAAATGAAAGCCACCACCGAACTCGTCCCTCGCCAGTACTTTCGCTTTGACTGTGGAGGCTCCCGGTGACTCAGCAGTTCCACCGCAACCGATGTCTCCACTCCATCATGAAGGTGCTGAAAACTTACCAGGCCCCAACACAACCAGCCGAGCCGCCCGTTAGTAGATACCTCTCGCGTTCCTTCGGGCACAACTACCGCCCGGTTCCCCGCGGCCTAACTCCCAAACTGGGGAGGAGGCTGAAAACCAGTCCTGCTTAGTTAAGTATCTCAGACTGAAATCGCACCTGATTGCTAAACCATTTAAGAGGCAGGCCCGCAGAATTTTCCTACTCACCCCAGTACCGATGGAGCTCATTCCGAACCGAACTTTACCGGCAGCAACAACACACGTTCAGCCTTCCTCTCCACACCACCAATAACACGCCTTCTGACTGGACAAATCCTGCACCCCGCTTCACCAATCAGCAGCGTCTATTCCGCGCTCGACCCATGCGGATTCCCCGTATGAAGAGAGTGTGCTGTCTGTGACTGTGAATATCAGTGACTTGCTTTATCCTTGTATCCCTTTGTTATGTCGTTATGTTATTCGTTAAAAAAAAAACTAGGAATTAATTATTTTGAAAATGTGCTGCTTTGAATAAAAGACTGCTTCAGCTGGAGTCCTGTTTTGGGCACCACCTTTCAGGAAGGATGTGAAAGCATTGAAAAGAGTGCAGATGACATTTATAAGAATGTCTTGGTTGAGGGATTTCAACTATGAAGATAAATTGGAGAAGCTGGGACTGCTCACATTTGAGAAAGGAAGGCTGAAAGGAGATCAAATTCAAGTATTCAAAATCATCTGGGAAAATGTTTCCACTCATTAAAGGATTGAGAAGAGCTAATTGCTATTTAGCATTAAGAGGAAAAACATTTTCATGCAGCAAATTGTTAGGATCTAGAATGCACTGCTTAAGACCAGGATGAAGATAGGTTTAATTGAGGCATTCAAAAGGGAATTAGGTGGTTATTTGAAAAGCAGCAATGTGAAAGATCATAGGGAGAAAGCTGGAAATTGGAACTGGGTGAAATGTTCTTTTGGGCCAAATGGCCACCTTCTGTGCTGTAACAATTCTGTGATACTTCAACACTTGCAGTCCAGTGCCCAAAATCAATGTATCAGTCCACTATCCACATGGAGAACTGCAAACCAGATGCTCTAATATTCAGTCTTAAAAGTGTAATTATTTCAAATTTATTGGGACAAGCAAACAGAAAGCACAGAATATTTTTAACTTTTAAGTATTTATTCCCATCCCCTTATAATGTAACCATTAAATCTGCTTCCCTCATTCTTTCAAAGAATGCATTTCAAACCATAACAGCAACTGGCTATGAAAAAAGAACAACTTGTATTTACACAATGCATTTAAAGTAGTTTAAAAATCCCAAAGCTCTTCATAGGAGTACAATTAAACAAAACTTGACCCTAAGAACATAAGAACTAGGAGCAGGAGTAGGCCGTCTGGCCCTTCGAGCCTGCTCCGCCATTCAATAAGATCATGGCTGATCTTTTCGTGGACTCAGATCCACTTACCCGCGTTCTCACCGTATCCCTTAATTCCTTTATTGTTCAAAAAAAATCTACCTTTTTTTCAAAAACGTTTACTGAAGTAGCGTCAACTACTTCACTGGGCAAGGAATTCCATGGGTGAAGAAATTCCTTCTGAATTCAGTCCTAAATCTGCTCCCTCTAATCTTGAGGCTATGCCCTCTTGTCCTAGCTTCACCTGCCAGTGGAAACATCCTCTCTACTTCTATCTTCTCTATTCCCTTCATAATTTTATATGTTTCTATAAGATCCCCCCTCAATCTTCTGAATTCCAATAAATATAATCCCAATCTACTCAGTCTCTCCTCATGAGCCAACCCCCTCAACTCCGGAATCAACCTAGTGAACCTCCTTTGCAACCCCTCCAGTGCCAATACATCCTTTCTCAAGTAAGGAGACCAAAACTGCACACAGTACTCCAGGTGTGGCCTCACCAGCACCTTGTACAGCTGCAACATAACGTCTCTGCTTTTAATTTCAATCCCTTTAGAAATGAAGGACAAAATTCCATTTCCCTTCCTAATTACTCGTTGTACCTGCAGACCTACCTTCTGTGATTCATGCACAAGGACACCCAGGTCCCTCTGCATAGCAGCATGCTGCAACTTTTTACCATTTAAGTAATAATCCTTTTTACTATTACTCCTACCAAAATGTATGACTTCACATTTGTTTACATTGTACTCCATCTGCCAGACCTTTGCCCACTCATTCAATGTATCTATGTTCCTCTGCAAAGTTTCACAGTCCACTGCATACTTTACTCTGCCACTCATCTTAGTGTCATCTGCAAACTTTGACACCCTACACGTGGTCCCCAACTCCAAATCATCTATATAAATTGTAAATAATTGCAGTCCCAACACCGATCCCTGAGGCACACCACTAGTCACTGACTGCCAGCTAGAATAGCACTCATTTATCCCCACTCTTTGCTTCCTGTCAGTCAACCAATCCTCTATCCATGCTAATACTTTACCCTTAATGCCATGCATCCTTATCTTATGCAGTAGTCTCTTGTGCGGCACCTTGTCGAAGGCCTTTTGGAAATCTAGGTACACCACATCTACTAGGTCCCCATTGTCCACCTTGTTCGTAATGTCTTCATAGAATTCCAAAAGATTTGTCAAGCATGACCTGCCCTTCATGAACCCATGCTGCGTTTGCCCAATGGGACAATTTCTATCAAGATGCCTTGCTATTTCTTCCTTGATAATAGACTCAAGCATCTTGCCCACTACAGAGGTTAAGCTAACCGGTCTATAATTCCCCATCTTTTGTCTACTTCCCTTTTTAAACAGTGGCGTCACGTTTGCTGTTTTCCAATCTGCTGGGACTGCCCCAGAGTCCAGTGAATTTTGGAAAAGCCACATAAAATATAGCTAAAGAGTTAGATAATAAGGAGTTTCATCAATGAGGAAAGACGGATGTGGCTGGGGAGATGTAATTTCAAAGCATAATGTCAGTATAGCAAGGATTAAGCTGTTGACAGGGTTAATAATTAACAAGTCATTCTGAAGAGTGTGGTATAAGGTGTGTGACTCCAGTCAATAACCAGAAAAGAGACAAAAATAGAAATTGCTGGAAAAGCTCAGCAAGTCTGGCAGCATCTATGGAGAGAAATTGCAGATGACATTTTGAGTCAAGTGACCCCTCCTCAGAACTGAGCAACATTTATTTTAATATACTATCTGTTAAGCATGTATGAGACTGTTTGAGAAATTATTCCATATAAAAATATATAATGGAATTTAATAGACTATGTTCAAGATTGAAAGGATTCTACTTGGAGATCCTGAACTCAGTGCTTGCCCTGATTATTTGCCGAAACTAAGTGTCAGACATGGAAAGACTCAGAGTGTTAACTAGGATTAGATTTTTGAGAAAGGAGCAAATTTTTGGAGCAAGTGACTGAAGCCTAAAAAAAATTTCAAGGATAGCATTCATGGCTCAAATGGGATGTTCAGCAGTTACATAAAGATACACTGACCAGATCCAGGCCACAAGCATCATACAAAAGGAAAATCATAACTATATTTGGCAATAATAACCAACAATGAAACTTGGGAACTGCCTGGAAAGCAATTTGAGTTTTATATGCAACTCAAAATACCACTTTGCAAAGAATTCACCTAAACCGAATAATAAAGTTTTTGAAATTACACATTGAGACAGAGGTTCTGAAGGAGAAGTTGGTGATACCATTCAGGCACAGAGAGATGTACTAATTGCAAGGAGCTTGAGCCAAATAATTAATGCCTTTGTTACAGACTCATTCATTCGCACAGTCTAGAACAGTAGGTGCGCATCCATAGTTTGTGGAGTGGATCATGAGAAATATAAATCCTTATGGTTGAACTTCTATTGTTACATTTCGAAGGAAATTAATAAGCCCAACAAGAAGTTCAATAGCTGGAAAGAATTTGGTGTATATAACAAGGTAACAGGGTATAGGCAGCCTTGTCATTATAGATGAATATGCACAGAAAAAGTGCTCCCTGCTAGGGACATATTAGATTAAAGCCAGAACTTGCTCAGAGTTTTGAAGAAAACCTTGATGATCAAGACTTGAGTGGATTCCACTTCTCCATGAAACATGATCTTGAAGAACATCTTAGTTCTTTTAGCAAGTTAACTCCTGTGATTGTCAGTCAACCGATTGTGAGAAATGCATTTTTTCCCCAAGGTGAGAAGTGTTTCAAAGGCAGATATTTCTGAAACCACCTAAATCGGCAGGTGATATAGAAGGGCGCTATGGAAATTAAACAAGTGTGTATATGGGTTGAATGACACATAAGTGTTTGGTGTTTCTCAGTTGGATTGTGTTACCTACAATTGTGAGATTTAAAACTAATCTCTTTCTCTCCATTCTCACTACAGTCTGTAAGCAGATTGTGATTTAATTTTTTTTATTTTTAGAAAGTACATATTTCCTCTTTCTCTCTGCAAAAACACTTTCCTAAAGTTAAATCAAGGGGAGTCTGTTTCACGCATTCTTAGACAGGGGAAAAATACTTTGCAAGATAGGCATGTTCACAGGTGTGCAAGGAAAGACCAAATTGAAAAGACAAAGAGATGATTAGCACCAACGTAGTACAAAACAAGAAGGGATACCTGTTAATTAATGTCCTTCCTTTTGCAATGGAGTACAAAACTGAAGTTAGTATTCTGGAATTTCTTTTGTGAGCATGGGTGGCTGTCTGTCAGTTTAGGACAATTTCTTTAAGGAACATTGTTGAAATACAATTTCTGCTTTCCTGTTTTACTAAGAAAGAAAGGTTGATTACTTGCAAAGACCCAAATACAGGTTGCTCGCTTTTAGTTTCAGACCAGAGGCTTTTCCGTTGCAGCCAAGAGTTCAAGTTTTTTTAATATATGTCATCATATGTTGAATGAAGTATTTCAAAGTTGGACAGTTAAAAGGCAGTTGCTCTCAGCATTGTGTGTCAAAGTCTCTTTTGTTTTCTGGGCGGTGAGGTGAAAGTAGTTACAATTGAGACAAAGACTTAGATTGCAATCTATTGATGTCCATAGACCATCTCAGAGGTTAAATGAAGATATTAATGCAATCTTTTACAAGATGGCAATAACTTGCAACTCTGTTGGTTAGGGATTTTTCTTGGAAACAGCAAGGCAACTTAAAATGTAATAGTTAGAATTCCAGTCCCATCAGGAGGTACATAAGTGTTGTCTGAGTGACTTTGGTTTGTAATTCTTTTGAGACAATAATTTGACAGTTGGTGAGATTTGGCTTAAAGCAAATCCTCCAATGTTCTTCCGATATCACAAAGGGAAATTAGCAGACACTTTTATCATGAATGTTAATGCTTTTCTTTGGGGACAGGGGGGGCTTTTATGCAACTTGGGATCAAAGAAAAAGGGTATTTTAAGATTGGAAGGCAGCCTTCAGGTCCTTTTA